TCCAGCGCCGGCTGGCTGCCTTCCACGCACCGTCTCGCTTCATGGCCCCACACTCACGGTGTGAGTAGGTACCCCTGGGAACCCACTTGACAGACGAGGAGGCCCCGAGGAGCGCGCGCACAACAGAGAAGCCGCGGAATCGGGAGTCCAACCCAGGTCTGTCTGACCCCAGAGCCTGTGCCTGTAACCGCTGGCTAGGCTGAGCTGCCCGTGTGCTTCTCTGTCCCCCTCCCCTCTCTCAAGCTTCGGCCTCTCCCTCCTCATCTTTCCAGCTCCCCCGGGCTCCGGCACTTCACACAGTGAGTGAGATTGATTGGAACCTCCGGGCCCGGGGTTAGTTTCCTTTTATAACAGTTTTAATAATATCCGATGCTTAGTGGTTGTCTTTATAGAAACCTATCGAACCCCACTGAGAAAGGAGGTAAGGCAAGACGGTACCATGTCTGACACTGAAATGAGGTTTGTTTGTAGATATTTTATTCTGTTGTCCTATTACGCTTACTGATTTTTTTTTTCTTTTTAGACCCCTGCACATTTTCTTCCTCATAATTGAGAGAAGACCCACTGGCTGAATGGCAGCTGTAGATGACTTGCAGTTTGAAGGTACATCATCAGTTGGGTGCCCGCCTCTGTCTTTACGATCACTATCTGCAGTTACAGCAACGTGTTTTTATGGCTATACTGTTTCATACGTTAAAGGATATTGTTTCAGGCTGGGCGCGGTGGCTCATGCCTATAATCCCAGTACTTTGGGAGGCCTAGGTGAGATTGCCTGAGCCCATGGGTTCAAGTCCAGCCTAGGCAACTTGGTGAGACCTTGTCTCTACTATATATATAATATATATTATATAATATATATTATATATTAATATATATTATATAATATATATTATATATTAATATATAATATATAATATATTATATATTAATATGTAGTATATATAATATATTATATATTAATATGTAGTATATATAATATATTATATATTAATATGTAGTATATATAATATATATAGATTTTATATATATATATACATATATATATATATAAATTAACTGGGCGTGGTGGCACAGGCCTGTAGTTCCAGCTACTTGGAAGGCTGAGGTGGAAGGATTGCCCGAGTCCAATAGGAGGGAATCACAGGCAGTGGGTGTTGGCCACACCCAGGTTTTTTCTGTTTGTCCACACCAACTGTTTGGGTTTTTTTCTAAGTAATGCTTCAGATTGGTAAGAAGTGTCACAAATTTAGTATAGTGATTGCAGAAAATGTTGATATGGTTCCTACTTTCAGCAAATATATACTAAACACCTACTTTATGCTTAGAACTGTACCAGATACTGGAGATAAAAAGATTAAGTTTATACACTGGTGGGGTAGATAAAAATATAGGAAGATGGTTAGGATGAAAGGTGTTCAGATCATTCCTTCATTGAATCTGTAAGTATCTCATGACTGTGGCCACAAACCAGGCAGTCATCGGGGATAGAAGAGTGAACAAAATAATCAGGTTTCTTCCCTTGTGAAGCTAGTGAGGGGGTGCGTTCATTTATTAATTGATCATTTAGATATATATCTACAAACTCTGAAAGTGCTGAAGGAAGAGGTCAGGGAGGTATTAGAATTCATAACCTGGAGCCTGACCTATACTGGGAATTGATGAGTGTTTAATTGTACTATAATCACAGCACTTACTACATATCAGGCCCTGTTCTGAGTGCTTTATGAATAATAATTCACTAATCCTTATATCCAGCTTAGGAAGTAGTTATTTTATTTTTCCTGTTTTACCAGTGAGGAGACTGAGGCACAAAAAATTAAATAATTTGCCTAACAGTCATATAGTTAATAAGCAGTAAAATCAGTATTTAAGCCCAGGCAGTCTAGTGTCTCAGCTTATCTGTCTCTTCTCTCTGAGGAGATAGGATGCTTAGCAATAAATCCACTTCATTTGCAAATGCTGTCAGTGCCATCTTCAAAATTAATCTAGCATCTGCCCCCCTCCGCCACTACTCCCACCATCCTCAAGATCACCATCACCTTGTCTGAATTACAGCCCTTTCCTTCCTTCTGGTTCTGCTTCCTTTCCCTGCCCCTCTGCAGTGTGTATTTTGCAGCTGGAGTAGTCCTTTTAAAAATAAGTCAGATCATGTCATTCTTTCAGAACCTTCCTATAGCTCCCATCTCCCTAGGAGTGAAAGCAGAGCCCTTTTTGTGGCTTAGGAGGCTCCTGAATGATCCAGCCCTCCACTGCCTGTGATTCCCTCTCCAGCTGCTTTGGTCTTTTCTCTCCCCCCAGCCATGTGAGCTGTCACTGTTCTTTCTATGTGCCAAGTACGTTCACAGTTTGGGGCTTTTATGTCATCTTTCTGTTTGGGCATTTTTTTCCTCCAGAAGTCACATGACTTGCTCTCTTGCTCTGTTCAGTTCTCGCTTTATTAGAGCGGCCTTCTGTGGCCATCCCACCTAGGAGAGTGTTCATGCATAGAGAACAGCACATGCAAAGTCCCTGCAGAGGGAGGAAGTTTGTTCAATTTTTTTCCCAAAGGATTGAAAGAAGGCCTGTGTTTCAGATCCCAGATGGTGGGGGAGGCTGGTACAAGGTGAGGCTTGAGAGGAGGCAGGTGACCAGTCACGCAGAGCTGTAGAACTTGTGTCAAGAGCTTTGGTCTTTAGAAAAGAACACAGGATGTTGTGGGATCATTGAAGGCTTCCCCAAGGAGGAATGGTATTGCTAGATGCAAAAGTGGAGTTCAGGAGTCCTCAGGTGGAAGACATTGTATCAAGAAGGAAACAAGCCGGCTCGGTGGCTCAGCCTGTAATCCCGTGCCTTGGGAGGCTGAGGTGAGTGAATTGACTGAGCCTGCGGCTTCAAGACCCGCCCGGGCAACTTGGTGAGACCTCATCTCTACAATAA